GTTCACTGCAGAAGAAAGACATTAGACTCCTTTTTCGCCAAGTTTTCGTTTACGAAATAATATTACACGATTGAGGGCGCTGCATTTAACTAGTGCTGACTTTGCATAAAGTCTGCCGTTGCCGTCAGGAAGTAGTTATTAACACGCGATTAAAGTGGCATTAATCTTAAGGGCTTGGGAGGCTGATTACGAAAATGTACTTGTTAAAAACTTGTGATTAACGGAAAGTGGAGCGGACAAGAATCCGCTTACATTCTCTTGTAATTGTTATCAGTAAGGAGAACTTAAAATTATGTCTGCTGTCTCACTGGTTGAATGGGGGTGCTGCACATCCTCCAGACGGCGGGGGTGGGTAACACGTTCTCCCAATTAGCTGGTGTCTGGAAACCGTAAGCCTGCACATCGTAATAATTCGTAGTAGGTTCTGTTTATATTTCCATAACTAAAATTGACCGATTTGTTATATTAATGTTGTTGCTTAAAATAATAATTTTCAACCACTAATTTGTGGCTACGTGTGAACAAATCGGTTGCTAATAATAGTGGCCCACCAGTCCCTCAACGTTTTTTTATCATTGTGAAATTCTACGTTTTTTTTTTTAAAAAGCTGAACGTTCCTCAAGTGTCTTTATGCTATAGCCAAAAAAGAAGTGAATATTAACCCGAGAGACTGCTGAATGCCACCATAAAATATTGGCACACCATCAATGACAGGCGTGTCAAAAATATCGGCCGCCCTTTGTCGCCCTATTTCACCGTGGTTATGACCACCTTTTCGAGTGCCAGCCAAGAATGCTTATAAGGGAAAGTGGCTTGCAAAATGCGGGCGAAAAGTCAGCCTCGTGAATAAGACAGCCTAATGTGCTAGCCACTTGTAGATCAAAAAAAGACAACAGCCTAAAGTGGAATGCGTGGTTGATGTGTTCGGGAGTGGATGTGTTGGCAAACACCTGATGATGAGGGAACCCCATTAGGGGCGTCTGTTTAGGTGTGCTGATGCGGTGAAATTACGGAGGTAAGCAATCAGTAAAGTTATTGGGATCGTAAATGTGAAGGCTCATGTGACGACCGAGGTGTTGTGGAAGGCGGCCTTTTGCGTAAGCAGTTCAGCATAACCGCGTGATACGCATCTACTTAATTGCTGCCCACACCTAATAAAAACGTGAGAAGTACCATCCACTAAAACATGCTAAAGATTGAAAAAATGCAGGTTACAGGAAAAGAAGATACAAATGTTAATGCCATATTTACTTCGGTTATCGAAGAAATAGCGGAACATGAACTTGCAGGATTATTCAGCATTTGTTTTGTCTTATTATTTACATTGTTTTGCTTTTGCTTTATTTCCCATTTACCACTTTGGGACTCGGCAGGGTGTAATTATGCTTGGAGGCGTATCCGTCCGGCCCTGCTGATAGCCTATCAGCCTTTCTGTAAGGTAATAGTGAATCCTCCTCCATAGTGGTGGAATTTATGTAATACATGCTTGGTTGAATATACCGCTTGGGCGACATGGTGTCAGGTTACCCGAACCATGTGGCATAGCGGAAGCCATCCACCCTTGAGGAGAAAATGAACTCCAGCCCTCTTCATAACTTGATGACCTGTAAACCCCAATCATAATTCTCAAATACAAGATGCCTTCGTCCACACAACCTCCTCGTTCCGGGGTGTGAAACCAGAGGTGAAAGAGGGAAACACGGGATCTTTTACATTAGTGGGCTCGTCGATGGACAAGCTCCCTCTCAAAAGTGACATGAATTTTGATTTAGTGACTCCAACATGCTAGAACTAACTTTTGATTTTACATTCAGCGTCGAAGGGCATAACGAATTCTGCTCGCTGTTCCCCAGAACCTGTTCTTGGCCGCCATAAATAGCAAGATAACCCTCGATGCCGATTTTGAAGACTGCGGCGATGCTTTGGGTTAACTTGCCATCTCTCAAGAAGCACAGACGTTAGCTAGAGAGGTCTTCCATTGTAATCAAAAGACAAGAGAAGATGACAAGGAGCCTACAAATTGTCCATAAGTACAGTCAAAAGAAGCCTTTTACGGCTTACCTTCAATCAGAGTTGAAGGATAGACAACTATTTAATTTAGGCACGAAGCTTGTCCACTTTGCATGGTCGAGAAATTCCACGGCACAGGTATCACTTTCCTTTGCACTTGTCCAATTCGCAATGAAAAAGGTCAGGAATTAGCTACGGCTCCTCACTACATCAGCAACTAAGGTCGACCAAACCCAACATCCTTCTTTCAAGACCAACCGAATCATGTCCTAGTGTTAGGTAAGTCCTTCCTCTCCTTATTCCGCTTTCTTCAAAACGGTTCCCATTCATTCTTCAAGCCTCAGGCAAACTGGAAGGATATTCATCCAGCTTTCCCTTTGGCTCCGGTGCCGTCATATTAATGATAGATATTGGGATTTTTCACCTCTTTATCATAAGACTAAAGTTGTTTCGCCATCTCGGGGATAGGATTGGCAGAAGGAATAGAGCTGGTAATAAAAAGGGAGGCGTTGTTGCATACCAACATAGACTAGGAAACATGGATATTGAAATCTCTGGATCTGGTTTAGGATGTGATTCTTTGGGTTGGTATTCTACATGGCACTGGGGCTGCCCTGAAGTTTGCAGAAGGCACTTTCTCTACCCACCAAAGCACTAAGGCAACGATAACCTTTTATTATCGAAAGGGTGCTGATGATATTTATATTGGTTTATTGGAGGCCGCGGAAATACCTATGAACTACCTGGGCCACCTTTGTTCCCCCTTTACCCATGTCACTGAAGATGATAGGGAATAACATTGGAACTTAGTGGCTAGATAGACGAATATATCCTCATGAAAAGTGCTAAGCTGGAAGGAACAAGTACCGCAAAACTTAGGTTCGACACTGGGCCTGCCAGACTAACCTGGCAGCCACGAGGACGCATACTACCTCCTCTGCTAAAAGGGGTAAGCAATCTTTTAAACAAAAGGCTGCGAGACAAGGCCATAAAGGTATCGAAGTCATCGTAGATTTCACTAATTGTATTGGTAAAGAGGAAGGACGGAAGTCTCCGACTGTTCATTGGTTACAGAAAGCTGAACGCTCATTGACAAAGAAGAACGTCTACCCACCACCCCACCTAAACGATTTGTCAGACTCTCTACACAGGTTAATGCAGGTCGCCAAGTTAGATTTAGAATCGGGCTATCAGCAAGCAGGGATGTGGAAGATTTTGCTATAAAACGAAATTAATGTAACCCAGAAGGTGTTTTTGGGACTATGCAATACAGCGCCTTGTGAAAACCGTGCAGGCTAGACCATTCCCAAAGCATTGCGCAATATACCTGGATAGATATGAAATCATTGCTAGACTCCCTACAAGATGTCGATTTGAAACTGAAGCCAAAGATATGAAGTTAACCTTTTGGGACATTCCACCTCATCTGACGGGATTGCGGTTGCTGAAGTGCTCGAGCAAAGCCAGTGAGCACCCGTTCTACAATAGCCAATTAAAAACTTTGTAGATTTGTTGAAGATTTTACTGAGATTGCAAGCCCGCTGCATAAACTTACGGAAAGGCCAGCAAAAAGGATTTCAAGTCGGGGAAAGAGAACGGTAACACGTTCAAAACAGAGTCGAATACTCCGCTTCGCACCAATTTTAGCATTACCTAATTTCGAGTCAAGCGCTACATCATTCGTTCTGCACGGACAGGTAGAAGAGCCGAATCACACGTTGAATGGACTGCTGAAGGTCTTCATTAAGAACATCCAACCATAAGATTATGATTTATGCCTAGGATGGTGCCCCCTTGTGCGTAGGACTACAGGCAATATAGCAAATGGAGTTTCACTAATCAAAATGATTTTAGGTTGTAAAATGGGAGCACGAACCGACATTTTCCTACAGTATCCCAGAGTATGGTCTGCGACAGAAAGAAGTGATAAAAAAGTGGCTAACATCACATCTGAACACTCACACTGGTCATATATAAGAAAGAAGAGATATTGTGAGTATCACTACCAACTTAAAGCCTGACGAAAAGAAGAACTAGTACAGCCGTACAGGCCACCTAGACTACACAGCAGGTTCCATTATCCGTGGAGCAAAGACCCCTACCCAGTTATGTTGGCCATCACAATATCAACCTGCTTGGTATAAAATAAACTATTCCGCACCCAATCGATTATAGCTCACTACGATGTGTTGCTCCCGAACAAAGGTACGCCCCTGGTCGGACATGAAGAGCTTACATACTAACTAAAGAAAGAAGCTTGCTAGAAATAGCAACTGAAGATATTAGTCCTAGGTGGAGGGCAGTTAGTTTCTCCCAACTGCGCGACTGAGCAAATGCCATCGACCACTGAGAGTGAACTGCAGCCCTCTTTAAAATACAATAGTTTATAAGACTTCATGCGTGTCAAATACAATATGTCCTTTCCTACCTGGTATAATTATTACGAAATCAGGGATGACTCTAGGCGTCGCGGGTAATAATGGATGATGTCCACTAAATTTGAACATATTATGGAAGTTAAAACTCGGAGATTAGCAAAATTTTACAGCATTTATCATAATGTACATAAAATGGTATATTTGCAACCAGAAGGAAGTGAAACCTTATTTGGAACCAGCGTCCCGTCTTCTTGGGCAAACAAATAATTTTACAGGAAAATAGGGGCAAAAATCTTTTATGAACACATTATCAATCGCATACTCATGGCGTACAGCAAATAGCTAAATAATGATAACATTGTTAATGCAAACCAGGAGGTAAAGCAGTAGTATGCTGGCTTTGGGACGTAAGTGAGAACATTGTTTTCAATCCCATAAAAAAACTGAAAGCAAAAGCCAACTAAAATAAATTTTTTGTTATCGAAAATAAAAATTGGCCCACAACTTAGATCTAAAAAAATAGCCTGTAAGCCTGCAAAAAGTACTGCAAACCATTAAATTGTTAGTATGCACTCCTATTGCTGACGCGGTGAGCACAAACAACGCCCGGGAATGTCGAAGCGTGGTGCGTGTGTAGAGCGGTTCGTTGTTATTGCCTTACCTACGGGGGTTTTCTCTGTCGCATGTTACAGTTCTATTTTATTAAAAAGGACGCGGTGGTTCTTCCGGAGGGAAGTTCCGAATCACCCTTGGTCTTCCCACCGGTGCGGTTATGAACTGCGCTGACAACACTGGGGCCAAGAATCTCTATGTGATTGCAGTCTTTGGTGTCCGAGGTCGCCTCAATCGGCTGCCATCGGCAGCCACTGGGGACTGCGTGGTTTGTTCAGTGAAGAAGGGCAAACCGGAGCTCCGCAAGAAGGTGTGGCAAGCTGTAGTAATACGTCAACGGAAGGCGTTTCGTCGAAAGGATGGAACCTTTATATACTTCGAAGACAACGCGGGCGTAATAGTGAAGTCCAATGGTGAAATGAAAGGTGTGTGCTGAACTTATAGTTGAGTAGATTGGTGGTAAGTCGGCAAGCCGAATTGCGCCGTTGTGTTGCTTGGCGCCCAGACAGCTTGCAAGATGGAGGTGTTCTAGATGAGTTGATTGTCTAGTTCACAACATTGGCCGGATAGGTGCGTAGAATTTGGATTTCTTTGCGTTCTAAGCATTGGGTATTCCCGTTTTCCTCTAGGCTCTGCTATCACCGGTCCTGTGGCGAAGGAGTGTGCTGATATGTGGCCAAAGATCGCCTCTAGTGCTGGATCTATCCATTGATCTGTAAAACATGCTGTATACCTACTCGTGAAAAGGTTTTGTGTGGAATGGTGACCTCTCGCTCTATAGTTGGCTATGATAGTTTTCAGTGATTAGCATTTAATTGTCTCACTTATGGGAGTTGGTTACGTACTTAGTTTTGCCAATTCCATTTTTCTACCTTACCTATCGCTAAGCCACTTTGTCCCTAACTAACGTGCGTCTTGGTAACTCATGTGTGGTGCTTTGGTCTGAATGCGGTAACGAGTAATCCTGCGGTTAATTCTGGTATTTTGCATGCGTTGTCCACTCCTGTCGTTAGTTTGAGCAGTGTGGCACCTGGCATGATCACTTCATGGGCTGCCGTTTATTGGTTGCCTAATCCGTGGGTTGGCGTCACTATTTGCTTGGGAATCTCCAGTGACGGGGACTGATTCTTCATCGTGGCGGTTCTCTCTAGTAGCCCCTGCTTCGTGCTTGTCGCTGCGGTCTTTTTGTTGACTAAGTGAAGGCGGGGATGCATAGTCGACAGTTGCCTCCTGGAGCCGTTCGGGGGTAGACTTCAGATTTTACGTACACGGGGGACATGAACCACCGGATCTGGCTTGGACCCCTGCGTCTATGTTCTCGCACACCAGTCCGCCGACCCGTTATAGTTCCGCCCTGAATACGAAGAGCAATTGGGATACTTGTTCGGTGCCTTGGCCCCGATGCTTTCTTGCATTCACTCAATTTTACCTGACGACCTAATGAGCACATCAAGGAATGCGAACTGGGTAAGGCGTGGTCCCCAGTTTGTGCCTATTATATACTGGACGAACCTAGAGATTGGACGAGTTTAGGAGCAGGTATTATAGTTGCGGAGTTCGGTGTTTTCACGAGAATTCTGCTGGTGCATTACCCAAGATCCCAAGAGTTAGTTCACACATCTGCATTTCTCAGCTGTGGTACATAAACGTAATGCACCGGTGAAAGCTGATATATCAGAAGGACTTATGGACGGTAGATGCGGAGTCCATGTGGGTATGCACGCTTGGGTGGAGCTTCAGAGGGGAACTCTATACCTGCCGAGCAAGCACGGGAAAGCAATTTTTAAGCAACAAATCCCCTGCCCAAGTACGGACCGCCGTATAATGTCCTAGAGCGGTGGTCATGCAGCAGCCCGAGGAAGATATTTGTCAGGAAGGGAATTCATTCCAGTACTTGCAAACTACGTTCTGGCGCGCACTTTCAAAACTGCTACCGCTGGTCTTGTAACCGAGCACTGCACTGATACGTGGTCTACGATCGCCTCTGGTGCTGGACCCACCTATTTGTCTGCAAAATCCCCCCACCCTGTTAAGTCCTGATAATTCTTTTATTTTTATTATTTTGGTTCAGATTTATAGATATCTTGTCCATGCTTTAGAGCATGCGAATCAGTTGATACTTTCCTTAACACTATTCGTCGAACTGGGTGACTATGGACTGCTGGCACCCGCTATGGAAAATTAGTCTCTGTTTCTAACGTCCTCTATAGAACGTCATTTTCGTTTCCCCGTTTCAGATGCCTGTCAAATAAGCATTATAATCGTAAGAATATATTTGCCCTATTATTCACTCGTTCGCATGTCGTTCCTCCTAACCGTTGGCTTCCTCCTCACTTCGTGCACGTTGGTGTGGTTCGATTGTATGTGGTGCTTCCTGTTAGGAATATTCCTCCTTGAAGCCCTCCTTCTCTTTTTCTTCCAATTCATCCTGCTCCTTTTCCTGATTATCACTCTCCTCTTCTCCCGGACTACTTTGGTCTTGGCCCCCTCCTTTTAGATTAGCCTCTCCCAGATTATCTTGACCCCTTTCTAGGTTTTTGTCGTCCAATTTCTCCTGTTCCTCTTCTTCTGACTCCGACTGAGCACTTATTTCTGATGCCTTCTCCACAATTACCTCCGGAGTCTCGAATTTAGTCCTTGCTCTGCTTCCCTCCTTAAGGCGTCGCTTCTCAAAGTACGCTTTCTTAGTATCTAGCAATTCGTTGTCAAGCTTTTCCATTTGGAGTTTGTAGTCCTTTATGCTGGCATCGTGCTTCTCCATTTGTGCTGTCATTATCTGCAGAGAAAGAGGCACCCAATAAAGGCCTAGGTTTGTGGTGGTGACTAAACATATACCGTGATTAAACCGGGCTGTTAACGTAGTAATCGTTTTATAACCATGTAGGTAATGTTATAAGGAAGTGGGTTGTTGTGGAGTGATCAAGTGTGTATCAGCAAAGAAGAGGGTAAATTTATTTCTGCTGATGTCGACGACATTGTCAGCGTGGTCATGTTTGAAGCAAATCTCAATACTAGAGCTAGGCCTCTTCTGAGTCTCAGTCTAAGCAATACCACCGTCTGCATGGGCGCAGACAGTCTTGTTTATCTCAGATTGATTACCGAAGCGGGGCGATTACCTTCATAGCAGCTAATTTCTCCCGTAAACTATTTTCGTAAATGGCAAGCTGCTCGGCTATCTCGGGACCGGGTTGGCGGGCAAGGACCTGCTTCAGTTCCACGTAGAGGCGTTCTTTCTTTTGAATTTGAATCTCCTTCTCCAGGACTTCCTCCGTCTTTCCTATCAAACGCTTCTGTAATGAGTGAATCTTCTTGATCATCTCAAAGGAGGAAGGGTCGCTACCCTGTTGGAATAGAGGGTAAAGTTTGGACGTATAAACATAGTTAATATCATTTGAACCAAATTAGAGCAGATGTTTGAGGCTTAGGGAAGGCATCGGCTTTGTTTTTTAACGCGTCGGCCTCTGTGATCTTCGGCTGTGGCCTCCATGCTGTTGCTACCCATGCTTCCGTACTCCCAACCAATTGTTGATCTTATGGAGTATTCAGTGGTGATTTGGACATTAAATGCTGCAACCTAATCAGCACAGGGGAAACACTTCTAGTATGGTTGACCGAATCTGCCGCTGATTATACATAGGTCAGTAAGTGGTGGGGTTCAGGGTTGGGCGAACGAAAGTTGACCGTAAGGTAGTGCTACGATATTAAAATAAAAGTAAATATTGGGGGAACAGAAAAACAAAACCATAACTGGTATCCTAATATTTATTTATTCTTCCCACTCAAATGCAAGTGAAAGGTAAATTATACCTTTATTCTTAGCACGGGCTAAATTGACTGGACTGTAAAATTGTTAAGAAACATGAAAAAGTGGGAACATCGTAACAAGAAAATGCAAACGACTGCAAAATTATACCTCAGGAAGAAACTCGTAGTTTCGCCAATCATCTAGGTAGTATATCTGTAGGTGATGAAAATTACAAACACAGTAAGGTAAGGTGGTCAATTAAACTGCTTGCCGTTTATCCTCAGATTTGAAACGCATAAATTCAAAACTGCTCTGAAGTCACTGTCCCCTTTCCCGCAAAAGTAATCCTTTACTTACTGAACCTAGGATTTCCAACTCGCGTAATTTATGCGTCTACCAGATACAACAGCTGGGTTGCCAACTTAAACTACAAACTTGTTTAGACTATGGACTAATGGTACCTTCGGTCGAAATTTTGGCGTAGTTAGTCCTTCTTAAAGAGAGCTCGAGTGCTGAAGTATCAAGGGGTCGCAACAACGCTGAAACGGGGCACAAGGTGCACTCCTTTCTTACCTCCAGCTTTCGCCATCGATGTACGTTGATGGGTTTTTTGAGTTCATCCTCCAGAGCTTTGCACCGAACCTGCTCCCTACTCAGCTCCTTTCTAGCCTTGATCACTTCGCGCTTGAGCTCGTCCATCTTTGTTGCGTTCGCTTGCAGCATGGCCTTTTCTCTACGGGTCGCGCAGATCTCTTCGCGGACTCTTCGCAGATCCCCCAGAACCTTGTTGAACTGCGCTTCCCCCTTATCCAGCACCGACTTCTGGATACGGATCTTCTCGTAGAGATTCGCCAAATCATCATTACGTCGTACTAATTGGATGCCCAAAATGTCTTTCTCGCTGATCACCTGATCCAACTCTTTTCTGTGCTTCGTTCGTTCGAACTCCGCCTGTGCAATGACCTTGAGAAGCTTCCGTTCTTCCGCCTCCTGGCTCTCCATTATGGATCTATTCTCTATCGCCATATTCTTCATCCTCTGCAACTCCTTTTGCATATTATCTCGTTCTCGAGTCATCCTCACGCACTCCGCCGTCTCTTGTACCATCATTGCGTCCGTGTTTGCAATCTCCTCTTTCAGTTGTGATATACGATGCGCCATGAGGTGGAGTTTACGCTTCATCCCACTTATCTCATCCTGCGCTTCGATAAGATTTTTTGAGTAGAGGTTTCTATCACTTTTTATCGCCTCATAAAGATTCTCCTGCTGTTTCAACTTCGTCTGGGCCTCGGCAATTTTCTTCCTAAAGTCGAAGATTTGCATCTCACGGAACTTCACCTCTTCCATCAGATTGAGCACCTTCTGAGTATAACTTGAAGCCTCTCGAAGGTAGTGATCGCGTTCGTTCTCCAGTACATTGATAATTTTGCGTTGGGTTATCGCTTCTTGGTTGTAATTGGTAATCTCGCGCTCGAGATTCTGTTTTGACTGCTCGTGTAGTCGTAACAGATTCGTCTGTTTTGCAGCCTGTCCACGAACCTTAAAGAGAGATTTGGACAGAGCATCTCTTTCTCTAGTCAGCTCCTCACAAGCTTTTCGATCATTATCCATGGTCTTTCGTGTAGCCTCCAGATCGCGATCGATTGCAGCGATATTTTCACGCAGCCGATCTCGTGTCCGCTCCAGTTCTTGCTTCTTCTCCTCAATGCTACGAATTCGTCTACTAGCTGCCTCGTTCTGTCTAACCAACTTGGCGTTCTCCGCTCTAATGGCTTCAACTTCTTCCTCTTTTTGCTGAACAAAAAATATGCTGCTTACTTAAATTGAATAGAAAGATTTTCTCAAGTTTAGTATTCACACACCTTAACCTCTACCGACCGGCTCGCATTTTCCGCTCGAATGCTCTCGGTGAGAGCCACTTGGGCGTCCAATTTTGACTGTGCATCGGCGAGTTTCGCTTCAGCCAGTTGAAGCTTCCTATTCATCTGCTCGTAGGAGATCCTCAGAGTCCGGTTCTCCTCCTGCCTAACCTTGAGCTCCTCTTGTAGTTTTTCAATAACTTCGCTGATGGACCGAATCTGCGCGTGTTTCAGCTCGACCTCCTCGCCCACATCGTTCATTTCTCGCTCCATCTTCTCCTTCTTTCTCAGCTCTCTCTGAGCTTCACTGGCTTTCTCCTATTGACACAGTCATTGTACAGTCAGACGAGTTCAATGAGCAGATGGAATAACGGGTGACTCTGCGCTATTTTAAATGACATAGCCTCTCAAACAATGTGACAAACCTCTTGAAGGGTTTAACTTCATGTACTAGAATCTACCTTAGGATGCATGATTTCGGTGCATGCGTACAACCACTGGGGACTAACAGACCGAAAGTTCTAACTTGTTCCTAAGCAAAATATTTCCCCACCGTAAAAGGACTTAAGTATTAGGCTAATTAATTGTTTTTCCGGTTACGAAAATCGTAGCGGTATCGTACTTGAATGTCCCGACCCAGCTCTGCAATTTTTTGTTGAGCGGTGAAGATTTCCTCCTGCAGCCCGTTAATTTGTTCTTTGGTTGAATCAATTTGCTCTCGCAGTTTTGCATTTTCAACAGCCTGCTCAGATTTCTCCTTAGTTAACTTCTCTAAATTTTTGGAGAGCTCTGCTATTCTAAGGGTAGAGATTTAATGTTATTTACTAAACGTAAAGTCTCACATAGAAAATCCAACTAGTAGAACTTGACTGTTGGCGACACATGTACGTGCCCTCCCCGAAACATCCCAAAAATTTGGATCATTATGTAAATATCACCAATTCCAGAGAGAAAGAAACTACTTACGCATCAGCTCCAACCTCTCCTGACCCCCCCTTCTCAATAATATTACTGAGGGTAGCTATTTCTTCTTTCAGGCGTTTAATGCGTTCCCGAGCTTGATTTTCCTTGCCAGTGGCGCCTTCAACAAGTGTCCAAGCGCTTTCTAACTCCTTCTTAAGCGCAGAAAGATTGGCAGGATTTTCACTGGATATCTTTTCCACGTGATCCAAGCGCACGGAATTAGACAAAATGTCGGCCTTCAACTCCCGACACTTTCTCATTAGCTTTTTCTCATTTTCATGAGACTTTTGGAGAGCTGCCATAATTTTTTCGTATTCTTCGCAGAACTTCCTGAGTAACTTATTTCCCTTCAAATCACCTAATAGCTTTCCACGCTAATGCATAAAGGTGTTTGGACATACAGAGTTATACTCTTCACATAGCTGATTGAAGGACGATTCGTCTATTGCAGGCTTTACTACACCTTTAAGTAGATTTTTGTCGTGCTTTAAGGTATAAGGAAAACGAAAATCGTACCAACTCAACCATTCCTACAGGCCTAAAACTGCGTTCAACAACAAATAAAGACACTAGCCAGGAGGTGTGCGATTGTATCACAGCAACTTTCAAAGTTCAAGGTCAGTGGTCAACTAGGTTTGGGATTTGCAGGTATGCATTGCGAAGACTTGGATCTATATGAACATGACGTAACATAAGGGTTTGACTAGGAAATGCTAGGAATTTTCAGAAATTATGCGTGCTTGTAGAGAAAATATATCTACAAGGAGTAGCGAGGAAAAACAGTAAATAGGAGTCTTGAGGAAACTAAGGGATATAAGATGATAAGCAGGTGCGAAGTCTTAATTTAAAACAAGTATATTGACAATAAGGCTCTCAAAAATCATCATATACCATCACAACAGTGCTAACGCAAGCTAGGTGAAAAATGGTATTTTATCGTACGGAGGCGTATGTGTATTAAATGGACGCGTGAATGGGCACGAAATATGCCAGCTCTATCAAAGGGTTGAGGCGATCTAGCTCTGCGCTTGGAGGTATGTTTAAACACGTAGGCGATTCCGTACCTGCAAACCACACTTCCCAGTAGACAGCAGAATACCGGAAATCACGACAGACTTCTAAATCATAGGAAAATCAGGTTTGGACAAATGCCCACGCTGACATGATTTATTACAGCTGTATATAGGCCTGGGAAGTCCGTAGGGTAACATAATTAGATACTATCACCCTGGTAAACTATGGTTATGATGACTACTAAAATTTTCACAAAATAATAAACAAAATCCTAGCTATGGGTTTCCAACAACATACGTGGCAAGCTGTCATTTAAGGAAGAAGAATTAAAGCTCTTTTTTAACAGCTTAAAGTGACGAGGAATGTCCGAACACGTTTGTGGTATATGCATAAGTCTTTTTTGCTAATAATGAAATGAAAGACTACAACCCACTCCACATAAATCTTGTATTTAAATTTTATACACGCTTTGAAAAATTTTAAAAAGTGCATTTCTTTGATTTTTAGAACTCCGACTAATTTGTTTATACAGTCACGTTTTAGAAGCAGCCACGAATTAGCTCTTCTGCCGCTCGTGCCTTTTCATGTGTTTGTTGTTTTCTGGGTCTCTAAATGGGAGAATCAAACGAGAAGAAACATCGAGCCCCTCGAAGTGGCGCAAAAGCCCAGAAAAAAAATAGGTTGGAAAATAGGTCGAAGGCACAGAGCTCAAAGGGATTTGCCGTTCAGCACACTACTAAAGCTGCAAGGAAAGTCCGGAAGACACTAGATAAGGAGACAAAGAAATATCATCTTCCAACCATCAGTTCCGCTTGTTCGAGCGATTCTTCTCCACCTCTGATTGTTGGCATTGTTGGTCCACCAAGATGTGGGAAATCTACGTTATTGCGTGGGCTAATCAGGCACTTTGGTCGTCAGTTGGTCCCAAATATCACGGGTCCAATAACTGTTGTTGTCGGCAAAAAGTTTCGATTGACTTTAATTGAATGTGATTGCAACATTAATAGTATGATTGATGTTGCGAAGATCGCTGATTTAGTCTTACTTGTCGTCAATGTGTCAAAGGGTTTGGAGATGTATCATTTCGAATTTATCAATATGTTACAAGTTCACGGAATGCCTCGAGTCATCCCAGTGCTCACTCATTTGGACCAGTTCAAAGAGTCGGCTTCTTCAAGAGCCCTTCGGAAGAAAGTTAAACAACGGTTGTGGACGGATCTGTCTGCGAAGATTTTCCTCTTATCACGTTTTGTGCAGAAAAAATGTAGGACATTTTTTACAGAACATGATAGTTGCACTTTTAGTTCATCATCACAAACAGAGCGAGGTGGGTGACAAAATTATTGATGGTGATTACATGCCTGCGGAGATTCAGCGTTTGGCCCGTCTCATGGTTGTCAAATCTCCCAGACCGTCCGACTGGCGAACTGGACACCCCTATATGCTGGTGGATCGTTTAGAAGACGTGACTAGCCCTAGAATTCTTGCAGAGGATGAAAAAGCTAGCCGTGTGATTAGTCTCTACGGTTGGGTTAGAGGCGCTCCCATCGAAACTTCTTTCTCCAACCCTCTTGTCCATATTCCCGGTCTTGGTGACTTTCCAATTTTAGAATGCACTCGTCAACAGGACCCCTGTCCCACTCCGGCTCAACTTATGCGAGCCACTCCGTCCACCGAAGGGACTGTCGGAGCTAAATTGAAGAAGCGTCTTTCTGAAGGTGAACGTAAGGTATGGAATTCGAATAACCCTATTAAGAGGAGATAATCAAGTGTCTATCACTAAATCCTTTTCAATTGTTTATACATATATGCATGTGTAGATTTGTACCAAAAAGGTGGTTAACTTCACTCGAATCTGGACATTGTTGTTTAGTAACAAAGTAGAGAGGCCTAAGTCTGTAAGCGCTTATGGCGACTATAAACAAACGTAACCTTGTAGATAAAAATCCTGATTGAATGAGGTTTTTTAATGAGGCGTCCATCCCATTAGCCGCTTGAAAATCCACCTTATGTGGCAGTTTATTTCAGAATTGGAACTTCAAGTTAGCCTTTTCCGGAGTTGTTGCTGTATTTCGACCGATTTTTATAGATCTGAGTTTATAAGCACAAAGTCTGGCACCCATCACCGAGGTTTCCTTATTCATCCAATCCTCATTCAGCTTTATGCACCAATGTCGAGCGTTGGTGGCGTGCTGTTAGATCGCGATGCGACATACATTGATTTGGGTGGAAGTCATCACTTGGGTGGTGGTCGGTTGACATCCGGCCGTCAGGTGGTGGTAGGAGCGGGCGAAGCGGAGTTGGCTAAAGCTCGCGATCTTCTTTCGGCCGCCGGTCATGATCTAGACGAACGATTGAAGCACGATCACCGAGTCCAAATGCTCACTGATGCGCCTCTCTTGGAGCCGTCTGCAAACGGCCTTGATGATGATTTTGGCTCCGATGAGAATGACGACGACAGCTCCGAAGCAGATGATGATATTGAAGTTGAAGAAGACGGCGGTGCTGGACTGCGGATGTTCGAGGATACAGTTCTACCGGACGTGGAAAATGAGCCCATGGATGTGTATGGCAATGACAGCGGGGAGAAGAATTCGTTGAGGATCAAAGGGGATCTTCTGTTCAATAGTCGGCACCGTGACCTGAAGAACGCTTTCGATAGTGTGTAGCTTTGATTCCCTTGCCTATTATCTTCTATCCTAATTATTCACGAGTATTGAAAAAAGGACTACGTGGTCATGTATTGATCCCATTGTCAGTGGTTAATTTTGTTTTAGATCTGGGTTGGGAAGAAACAGCAACGGGTCGCAAGAACTGGAAGCGCATAATTTACAATGCTGGTACGTTGTTTCGGTCTGTTTTTTCCCCGTAAAATATGAACCACAGAAGTTGTTACCACCAAGAGGTCCTCCTCAGTAATGATATAGTTGTTCTCTTGTAGGGGATAGCCTTTTTTAACTAAAATAACCTGGTAATGATTTCTCATCGATGACAATCGTGGTTTCATCATTTTGTTTCAACATACTGCTCCATACGCACTAAAAGCATTGTTATCTGTCCAGTATGCTCTAAGTGTATTTCCCAATAGTTGTCAGGTTCTTATATCTGTGCTGATACCTCGTGAAACAATGTGTTTTACGTCATAATCTGAACTGTTGATGTTGTGTTGTGTCTTGTTTCATTTCAGCTTACTACAGAATTTGACTCAAACTTCCCCAAGTCAAACCCTTTAACGATGAGCTACATAAAGCCTGGCAACATTATGGTGCTTTAAATGAGATTAGATTGAACCCATTTCCCCAAAACTTTCAAAATCCATATTTGCTATTGATACTTGGTATGATGAACGTCTTGTAATATAGAGTTGTAATTCGTCCTGTCACGTTGAGACTTTTCTGTGGTACTGATATTACTTTAGGCAGGCGTCACTCAGGCATATTCCATTACAGTTTTACCAGTATTAGGAGACATTTACCAGCTGTTCCATTTCTCATAAGCTGAGGCAATTACCCCCAATTGTATTTTTCTGCAGCAGATGATGAGACGCCCAAAGGAACAGGCACATCCGCTCTCACCGGTGAAATGTTCATTATCTCTACTACGGTGGACACCCTAAGCCACGGAACCTATGCTGACGACGTCACTTTGTCCCAGCAACGCTCCGTTTCCATCGATTGGACCGCTTCGACGGCACTTATTGCGAACTGCTTCACTACAGGCGAGTGGAACTCCTCGGAGGACGCCGAGCAGTTGTTAGCTGCGGACGCTAAAGCGCAGCGAGCGATGGAAGAGCTAAAAGCGCAGAAGATGGCCAAAGCAGTGGGTAGCAGGGTGCAATATAAACCCGAAGGAAAGCTGGCCACGGGAGTTGCTGAAGACTCAGATATTGAGGAAGACGAGGTTTCGGAGGAAGAATTTGAAGATTTTGGTCCGTTGGACGAGGAGGGAGGGGCCTCCAGTGGAGATAACAAGGAGGAGGATAATAATGATCCCACGAAAGGATTTGAAAAGGTTGATCATTCCCATTCCAATAAGCTCAGTCTTGCTTTGGTATCCTGAATAACATAAATTTACTTCCGTAGTGTGCTGTCTTGCTTTTTTTGCAATCGCTACCTAAATTGCAGGATTTAGTCCCTTAGTTACCTTTGTTATGTTATCATAAGCAAAAGGTCTTCCATCTATATAGCTCGTTTAACTTGCCGATTTTTTGAAGTGGTATCACTATTTTGAAACGACAAACTTGCTTGTTCGCTTGCAGCCAAATCATGTTCGTGAGTGTGTCCACCATCCCCACTACAACAGCCCTCATCTAATAATCATTCACTCTGGCTTCAGCCTAGGTCTCCCTTGTTGTAAACGACTAATTTGCGATTAAGGTCGAGCTCATCAGATGGAACAAACCTTCATTAATCTGTTCATTAATTAATCGCATGACACTCACTACGATGTTGATTTTAAACTTGCGCTGAAGAAATGCAGGCATTTAATGTTTGACTCTACGTTTTATGACGGTGCGAGCCTACTTAGATGGTGGGAATCCGATTCATCACTATTACCTATTTCTTTCAGGCCTTACTTCGTCCAACGAAGCGTGAGCGCATTCTGGAGAAGCGTCGGCGTCACAAGGAGCTCTTCGATCGTCTCTATGAGGCTGCCCAGCGCGGCTCTGGTACGAGCGCGGACGAACCAGCTACGGCTTTTTACGACAAGATGGTCGCCAAGACGGAGGCTCAACAGCAGCTGAATCGCGAGATCCTTGGCAAATTGGCTCCCGGTGTTCGTGAAACTGTCGAGGGTGTACCTCCTGGATCCTATGTGCGTCTTCAAATTGTCGGTCAGTTTTTCTTTAGTCCATTTAGACCATTCTGTTTATTTTTTAGGGAATGATTTACGAGTTATTGGGACGTGTTCGAGGTTTCCAATGCATATAAACCACCTAAAAATAGTGTTTTAATTCAATATGTTAGAAGTATTACACAATGACACACTTCAAGTGCTATTGATTTATTTGCTGCCGAACTAAAGCAAGGCTTTGGTTTCAGCCGACCTTCAAGGTCCTGTATGCAACTTTGACCTGTCGGTCAGTCCCTGTTCACCTTTTGATCTGGTTCAACTTTGTGTCAAATTTTCCGTGGTTTTTGCGGAGCACATTTTTGTTGAGATAAGTTGGGAATTTCGCGCACACCACATCCTAACCGTCCCATCTCCGGTCTTAAATTGTGTGTTTAAAACTCTTGAAGGCCCTACGCTCACACATTGTTCTGATCTGGCATTAAAGCTGGTTCCGGGCTTTCTCACACGGTGCTTTGTGAGTGCTCCGTTCTCAAATTAATTGCCACTCAGCGGCATTCAGTGGCAATAATCTAATCCTCCTTCGACCTCGCCGAACGTCTTCTTCCGTTGAACTCAGTATTTGACGCAGCTTCTTTTTCACAGCTGACCTCTTAAATATTATGGACACAACACGTAAGGGTCTGCTAAGACTAGGTGTCTTCTGCTTCAGGAGTGCCCTACCAGTTCATGGCGAACTTTGACCCACGACAGCCGCTGGTGGTTGGAGGGCTGGTGAAGGGAGAGGAGACCAAAGCCTTCATTCAGGCTCGCTTTCAAGCGCATCGGTGGATACGACACGTGCTCAAATCCAATGATCCCATCACCGTGTCCGTTGGCTGGCGACGCTACCAAACGATCGGGGTTTTCTCTAAGTCAGTTACTTCCTCTATTTTTGTACTTCTGCCTCTTGTTTCTCGTCTTTTATTGATATTTTAAACGTAAATAACCCCGCAGATTTGTCCGCTTTTGGCGATATAGAACCGACATCAGCTGTCCAACAATAACCTGACCAAAAGTGGAATGCGTGCTTATCACTAAAGGAAATGATTTGCAGATCCGAGGTCATAGCAAACTAAATTGTCTTTGATTCTGGACGCTTGCCTCGGATTAGTGTCTTTACTCGTTAAAAGGATACGTTTTTGATGGATTAGCAGTTAGCTTGTTGACATGATTCACTGTGAACAAAGTGGACCTCTAAGGGAAGAACGCTCTCTCAAGTCCACTGGTCCAGTTCAAGGCAATAAATTGTGCTTTGGACTTTTTGGTTTCCATCAAAGGTTATCCTCATAAAAGCCCGGGATATTTGTATTATTAAGGACATACTTTCTATGCGCATAAGTTATCCAGGACTTTGCACTCCTGCTTCATTTTTCAGTGGATTTTGACGCTTCGCTCACTTTCTTCCCTTATTACGTTGTCCTAAACAAACGCATCACCCTATCTGAAGGGCAGATTTATCATTAAGCGGAAGAAAACCAGGTTATATTAGAGCGTGTCACAGTTGGAAAAAGGATGCATGTCACTCACAAAGCGTCATTAAAAATAATTAGAATGCCAATCAAATGATTTTGCTATTATTTATGGCAACTGTGCTCCATCACTGTGACTTTTGCCCGCAATGCTGTGCACGGTAGGGGGGGGGGAAGAACAAACTTACCTAGCATCCTGTATTTGCACAAGTAGATCCCGTCTACCTGTTGCGTGCGCAATAGGTAGCAGTGGTGGTTGTTATCCCACCGCTTCACCACCTATCATTCATCGTTGTAGCCGTACCACGGATAATTAAAGCCCGCTACCTAGACCTATAAAAATCCTACCTTCCGTATTATCGGGAAGGTGTACTGTGTGCATTTGAGTGCTTCTGTTGCATTGCAGGGAGGAGCACAACTTCCGAAAGCGCTACCTTAAATACGCCCTGGCGCACGAACACTGTCACATCACTTTTTACGGACCTGTGGTTCCTGCAAAAACTGGAGTCGTCGCCATTGTCAACTCCACGTGGCGGGAGCAGGTAACTCGGGCGTGCTCTACTTTCTTTACAATGTGATCGTTTACTCTCCTATGATTGGAACGTTCTGAAGCCCACAATATGGGCTCCTACACTTGCACTCAGTTTGAAGTTAACCCTGTTAGTTTTCCGCAGCGCAACACGCACTACTATACCAAATTTCAAATTATTCTTGATCGACTGGGATTCCCACATCCAGTGCTCGAGGCAATGATACGCTGGTCTCTCACCTTGATAATATCCTGTCAAGGGATAAAATAATCCAAACAGCTTTGGAATATTTCTACTTCCCACAAACTAATGCATACCGGTTTAGATTGGTTAACAAATTAACACTGCTGGTTATAGTCGAAATTCGGAATGGTTCATGCTTGCCTGCTACTTAGAAGGCAATGAGCTTACCGTTAGTCAATGCATAGGTCTTAGCATGTCTGCTCAAACTGCAATGTTACGCGACTGTTCTTATTTATGTGCCAAAGCACTGATGTGCTGTTTATTTCTCTTAAGAATAAGACTTTATTCAAATGTCTTCTATAGGCGGAAGCGCTCAACTCACCAAAATTTAGAATCGCCGGGACGGGCAGCGTGACGGACTGCAATGAGTCCTTCCAGATAATGAAGAAACTCAAATTGGTCGGCCACCCATATAAAATCTTCTCCAAAACCGCCTTTATTCGCGGTATGTTCAACTCGGAGCTTGAGGTGGCTAAAATGGTCGGCTCTAAGATTCAGACCGTCTCTAAAATTCGAGGTAATAAATCTACCTTTCAAGATGCAGTGAGGTATACTGACATGCATAACAAATATTGGGATTTTATCTTAGGTCTAATAAAGAACGCCCTCATGGGAACGAGTCACAAACCAGGTGACTTTAGGGCTACATTTGAAGCGTCAATTCGAATGGCAGACATAGTGTTTGCGCGAACCTTTGTGCCCATCGAACTGACCCCTTTCTACAATCCAATTCCCAACCTCCTTCTGCCCTCTGCTCGAACCGCAGCCTCTTCCGCCAGTGAAACACAGTGGAGGATGCTTCGCACCATGAGTGAGTTACGGTGGGATATGGGCGCTAAGGTAGAGATCAAGGAGGACTCCAAATACAGGGAGGCACAACGTGTGCCCTTCGTGCATCTACCACTGACTGTGCCCACCAAACTAGTCGCGGCGCTGCCCTTCGCCGATAAGCCAAAACTGAGTAAGAAACAGCTGCGTACACAACGCTTCAGGAATGATGAGGTAAGACGCGCTCGGAACGTCGATGTACCCGCACCGATAATAGCATCGTCTGAAATGGAGGGCGTTCCCGATCCCGTTGGGCACGTCCGCGATCGCGCGCAGCTCATTCAACGCCTGCGGCGGTTGCACGCGGCCTATCAAGAGCGGGAGAAGGGCAAGATGGTCGCTCGCATCTCACGTTACAAGGCGAAGTGCGCCACGGAGGCGGAGATGGCGGAAGCGAGAAGTAAAAAGCGGAAGAAGGAGTTCTTTGCTCGTCATCGTGGTGGCACCAAGGGGCACTCGGCCGTAAAGACGTAGACGCCACCCAGAATGTACATATCCGACAAGTGTCCATACATCTCGTATGCAAATCACAATGGAGTCGCCTTTGTTTGGTTAAAGATGCAATTTTGTTGAGGGATGCAAAGTAAGTAAATGGCGAAGGAGGAAAGGGTGAACAACCAGTCTCGGTGGGTTGGTTGATAGGAGTGAAATGATTGATAAAAGATGAAATTGTAGCTCTCACAGCAATATGCGCTAGTAAATGGTTGGTGGCTCCGGGTCGTTATTCTAAAAGCAAAAGAGGAGAAACCTTCGGAAGGACAGTTACAGAGCTGGTAAACAGAATACTGTAATGGTAGCAAAAGCGGGTCAGCATTACGCGATTGCAGATTCCAATTGTGTTGAGTTTATAGAAATTCTGAAAGGTAAATCCTGGTGCTACTAATCTTGGTGAAATGGTTTTTGGTGGGTAAAGTTGGTCACCCACCAAGCGATCAACATCAAGGGCTTGGGTGATAGTGCGTGGTGTGGGATTTCCAGCGCGTCATTGCGCGTTGTAATGCATTTCTAGTTACTGCCAAAGTAGGTTTACATAAGACACAAATTTGGTGGCTAATTTACTTGGTCAAGTGGAATTGGCAACATTCGTTACAATAAACGATAGCAGCGGAAGCTCAGCAAGTTTATAAACGAGAAAGACTCACCCCTGCGGGTCCAGGCTTGTCCGACCCACTAGCGCTGCCTTGACGACAAGTGCGGAAGGCCAAGACACTGGCAATAACAAGAATCCACGCGAAGAACACGAAGAATGAGGAGGAAATTTGACTGTCACTCTGACTCGCAAATGGGTTGGATAGGTCGCTCTGGCAGATGACGTCATTGCAGTAGGCTTGTGACTGTCGCAGCATGGTCAAGAGCCGCTGCATCGATGTTTCGTGATTGTAGATACACTCACATGGATCAAAATCACCTGACATGTCTAAAAGTGACGTCGTGAGAAATACGCAGCAAGTAACTTGGACTTGCATTACGCTAGTGACCATGTAAGGGCAAAAACCCCAAAGAGGACTTGAACTTGGAATTAGACAAGAGCGGGCACAAGGTGAGCTACATTTCAGCCAAATACAGAATTTAAAGTACTGCAATAAAAGGCTAGTTCTTGATAAGAATAAATCAGCTGGGACTTGTATACAACTGTCTTGCTAAATATATGCGGGGCGTAATTGTGTTAGAACCTCACATGTACATGAACTCAGGCAATACCAAGGATGCCGCCCGCCTAATAAATTCAAGGACTTTATTTGTCATGCGGATTACAAGAAAACATTGGAGCAAATGAGAAGCAACTACTGCAACCAGAAAGGAAACAACGTACTAACGCAACAGACGCTTGAATCGTATATTTAGGCTAGTGTAAGCCTGTTAGCAGATTGAAACAAAAAATCGCCGGCAAAAAAGCAGAGAAAGCAAAAAAACAAACAAAAACTTATACATATTTTGACGCAAATATTTATTAACAAAACTTTTTATAAATTAACTTCCCTAACGCGTCACTAAAAAATAACAGTATTTTCACTATAGCTGTCACATTTAAATCCAACTTTCGGGATATTTATAATAAAAAATCTCGCTTGTTAGATTGCCTTTACAAATAAAAGCCAAATGGGCAGAAAGGTTTGCGGAAAATTTTGCCAAAGAAAAGTGTTGAAAACTACAAAATATTGCTTTTTCATTTTTTAAAAATTTTATCGTTAAAAATTTTTTTGGAATGCTCTTATTTTGTTAAGTTTGCTGTAAATTTTGCAATAAGAAGCTTTCTTGATGTTGTGCAAATACCAAAGGAGGTACAAAGTGAATGGATGGTACTCGGATGATGACGAGATCATATTGTTACAATTGTAGTTAAAAAATATCACAACTCTTCAAGAACCCATTTGCTAAATTTTAACACCCCAGTTTCTCGGTTGCCTTTCGATTATATTGGACGGACAACTTTAATGCTCCATGGCCATACCAGTAACCCCAAGCTATAATAAATGTTGTGTAATGCGTTAGATGTTTGTTTAACAATCTGTTTTTTAAATAGGACCACATTGGTGGCAGCAGAAAGCAAACCTGATCCCAAGGGATATCAATCCAACTTT